TACATCATTAGTTTTTGATGTAGTGTTCCATGATTCATTATTTGCGTATAACACCCAGTGCTCCATGCAGAACGTGCCCTCTTTAATACCCATCACCAGGCTAACAAGTATGAAAATATTTTAAGGACAATTTTTTTTCTTGCTTTCTTTATGTCATTTTTTAAAGCCAGGTGGCCTGCCTTAGCTATTCCTATTGATTCTTCAGTAAATCTGTCATGGGTTTTATAAAAGCTTGTTTTTTTCCTAAATGTTTTCTGGTTGACATTCACATTCATTTATTCATTTATTCTTTTGTTAGCAGCTGGTATCCAGATATGAATAGACAGAACAAATATTCTTTGTATGAATATCCCAGTCCAGATCTTTATTATATCTTTTGTAGGTTACCTTAGTATTCCTTACACGTCATTTTGCCTGAATCTTGCTTTTATCCAATCTATCCTGCATTGCACTGCATGGACTAGTTTCTTTTATTTTTTATTTAAGATTTTTTTTTAAGGATTTTATTTATTTATTTGAGAGAGAGAATGAGATAGAGCATGAGAGGGGGGTGGGGCAGAGGGAGAAGCAGACTCCCCGCTGAGCAGGGAGCCTGACGCGGACTCGATCCTGGGACTCCAGGATCATGACCTGAACCGAAGGCAGTCGCTTAATCAGCTAAGCCACCCAGGCGCCCTGGAATGGTTTCTTTTAAATAGAACCTTTAATAAGTGACTAAGAATCTCTGTTTGCCAAAACAATGGCTACTCAAGGCAAAAATCTTGCCATACCCCCCAAGAACCCAGTAATGTTACCAAAGCCACTAGCCAGACTAGAGAGGTTGTCTAGGGAGTTAACGTATGTTAGTTTGCCTGACATGGAATTATATTTAACATGATGTTGAGATCTACTTTGTGTTTTATTTTGGATAGAATAATGAAGAGGAGCAAGGGCTTTCGGCACATCCCCCCCCCTTTTTTAATATTTGATCTTTTAAGCAATCGTTACACCAAACGTGGGGCTCCAAGTTACAACCCCAAGATCAAGAGTCACATGCTCTACTGACTGAGCCAGCCAGTACATCCTTTTTAAGGCTTTATCCTTTTTTTTTTTTTTTAAGATTTTATTTATTTATTTGAGAGAGAGAGTCAAAGTATGAGCGAGGGGAGGAAAGGGGAGAGGGAGCAGACTCCCCGCTGAGCTGGGAGCCCAACCCAGGACCCTGGGATTATTACCTGAGCCAAAGGCAGCCAGCCGCTTAACCGAATGAGCCTCCCAGGTGCCCCAAGGCTTTATCCTTGATAAGTAAATAAGGCAGAGATAAGTCTCAAAAGACTGACAGTTCCCCTGCTTGTACAGCCCTAGGAGCATCAACATCTTTTATTATGCACTTCCAATTTTAGGAGACTGTGCAAGATAAAAAGACAGGAAGGCTGGTAATATGTCCTCTGGGTAGTTCTACCCACATGCCCATGTAAGTATTTGATTATATATCTATAGGAATTAGTGAAGATTGAAACAGCAGTGATACTACCTAAAATTACTAGTTTCATACTTGCTTAATAAAATGGATTGGATTGGACACTATCGTGTATTTTTAAAAGTTGATTAGCCATAGCGGAGCCTGGCTGACTCATTTCGTAGAGTATGTGACTCTTGATCTTAGGGTTGTGAGTTTGAGCCCCATATTGGGCTTAAAGCCTACCTAAAAAAAAAGTTTACCAGCCATAGACTATTTAATATATTCTATCTTTAAAGGAATAAATTAGGGACGCCTGGGTGGCTCAGTTAAGCGTCTGCCTTCGGCTTAGATCATGATCCCAGGGTCCTGGGATCAAATTTGCCATTGGGCTCCCTACTGAGCAGGGAGCCTGCTTCTCCCTCTGCCCCTCCCCCCTGCTTGTGTTTCTTTTTCTCTCTCTCTGTCAAATAAAATCTTAAAAAAGAATGATTAAAAAAATGAATAAATTAGCTAAATAATTAGCTACTTTTCATAACTTACCTGGAAAATTGCAACTTGTAAGGAATGCAATACTTCTGTTATAGTGTTTTACGATTTCGTTAAACCATATGTATTTGAAGTTGTTTAGAAATTCTAAGTATGATGTTAACTTTGTTTCTTTCTTGAAAGCCAGTATCATTTGTTCTGGTGGTCCTGTAAAATTTTATTTATTTATTTATAAAGATGTTATTTATTTATTTGAGAGAGAGAGAGAGAGAACTGGGGGAGGAGCAGAGGGAGAGGGACAAGCAGACTCCGTGCTAAGTGTGGAGCCTGATGTGGGGCTTGATCTCATGACCCTGAGATCACTCCCTGCGCTGAAATCAAGAGGCTGATGCTTAACTGACTGAGCCACCCAGGTGCCCCTAGTTGTTCTTTTAAAAAGAAAAAAAATTTAATAGAAAACAAACACTGATCCTTCTTCAATGGTTATACTGTAACTTATAATTTTCAATTACTATTGAGAACCTTTCTCATTTTTACAGTTCTAAGAGACAAACAAGGTACTTTCTGAAGCAGTTTTATCATTTTTTTGCACAGATACTTACAAGAAGATTAAGATTTCGGTTGGAACGTGCACCTGGTGAAACTGCATTGATAGACAGGACTGGTAGGATGTTGAAGATGGAACCCTTAGCTACAGTTGAATCTCTGGAACAGTATCTCTTAAAAATGGTGAGTTTCTTGGGGCACCTGGGTGGCTCAGTCGGTTAAGCGGCTGCCTTCGGCTCAGGTCATGATCCTGGGGTCCTGGGATCAAGCCGCATGTCCGGCTCCCTGCTCAGCGGAGAGCCTGCTTCTCCCTCTCCCTCTGCCTGCCACTCTGCCTGCTTGTGCTCTCTCTCTCTCTGTCAAATAAATAAATAAAATCTTTAAAAAAAAAAAAAATGGTGAGTTTCTGGCAAGGCTGTGATGAAATAGGCATTCTCTGCTATGGGGTTTAACCCTTTAGAAAAGTAGTTGGGGAAGTATGTTTGCAGAGGTACGGTAATGCTCTTTGACCTTGTAATTCCATTTTTTGTACTTTACTAAGAAAATAATCTTTAAGCACTACAGATGCTTTCTTTCTTCATTAAGGTGTTTATTAGAGACATTTGTAATACTGAAATCATGAACAAAACCTTAATGCCAGTCAGTAAAAGGAATATCAAGCTGATAATTATTTCCATTAATTTGAATATTGTGTAGCTATTAAAATGTATAAAGACCAGTAAGGAAAAAAATTTTGGTATAGTATGATCAGATGTTGTTTTACCCTGTCGAGATAATGGAGTAAAGAAATACTCTATGATATTAATAGTAGGGTACTTTGGTTGTAGAAATTTGCATTTTTCTGTTTTTTCCCCAAATAATGTTTTTTTTTTAAAAAAAAGATTTATTTGAGAGAGCGTGCATGTGCGGCAGGAAGAGGGGCAGAGGGAGAAGAGAGAATCTGAGGCAGCCACCCTGCTGAGCATGGAGCCTGCTGTGGGATTTTTCCCAAATATTCTTTAATGAGTATTTGTTGCGACAAAATAAGTCACATTGGGGCAGCTGGGTGGCTCAGTCGGTGAAGCAGCTGCCTTCAGCTCAGGTCGTGATCTCAGGGTCCTGGGATCGAGCCCCACATCAGGCTCCCTGCTCCGTGGGAAGTCTCCTTCTCCCTCTCCCTCTGCCTCTATTCCCTACCACCCTGTTCGTGTTCTCTCACTTGCTCGCTCTTGCTCTCTCTCTCTCATAAATAAACTCTTAAAAAAATAAGTCACATTAAAGGGATAGGAAAAAGTGAGCAATGCATTTGAAAATAGCATTATTAAGGTGAGTGTCTTCCATATTTTCTTTGGTATAGGTAGCAAAGCAGTGGTATGATTTTGACCGATCTTCATTTGTTTTTGTTCGGAAATTAAGAGAAGGCCAAAATTTTATATTTCGGCACCAGCATGATTTTGATGAAAATGGAATCATTTACTGGATTGGGACAAATGCCAAGTAAGTCATGCTGTTTAATGTAGAGTGAAAATATTCACCTGAAAAAAAAAAATTCTAGGTAGTAGAATAAAATTATTAACCACTCTGAGTATCCTACAGTTTAAGGAATTTTGTATTATAGGTTAAATATAACACTATCTCATTTACTTTTTATGAAGAAAAAATATATAAATTGTCAATTTTAGGATTTTAAAAAATATGATTTTATGTGGAAAAAAGCTAGTATGAATAAATGGCATTTATTTTAATAGTGTTTAACTGCTAATTTTTTTTCTTTTATTTAGAACTGCATATGAATGGGTAAATCCAGCTGCTTATGGACTTGTAGTAGTAACATCGTCAGAAGGAAGAAATCTACCTTATGGCCGCCTAGAAGACATACTAAGTCGTGATAATTCAGCTTTAAATTGTCATAGCAATGATGATAAGAATGCCTGGTTTGCCATAGATCTGGGTCTCTGGGTGGTACCATCAGCATATACACTTCGTCATGCTCGTGGTTATGGAAGGTCTGCACTGAGAAATTGGGTTTTCCAGGTATCCAAAGATGGACAGAACTGGACTTCTTTGTATACCCATGTTGATGACTGCAGTCTCAATGAACCAGGGTTAGTTGAGGAGTCTTTGCAAATTGAAAAACTCAATAATGAACTTTGTTTATTTTTATAACTGTATGCTCTTAGAGCTCTCTTCTTTGTGAAATATTGAAGCAAGATTTTCTTTTTATGTTATTTTATTTTTTTAAAGATTTTATTATTTGAGAGAGAGAATGAGAGAGAGAGCACATGAGAGGGGTAGGGTCAGAGGGAGAAGCGGACTCCCTGCTGAGCAGGGAGCCTAATGTGGGACTCGGTCCCGTGACTCCAGGATCATGACCTGAGCTGAAGGCAGTTGCTTAACCAACTGAGCCACCCAGGCGCCCAAGATTTTCTTTTTAAAAACATCACTTGAGAGGTGCCTGGGTGGCTCAATTGTTAAGTATCTGCCTTCGGCTCGGGTCATGATCCCAGGGCCCTGGGATCGAACCCTGCATCAGGCTCTCTGCTCCGCGGGAAGCCTGCTTCTCCCTCTCCCACTCCCCCTGCTTGTGTTCCCTGTCTCACTGTCTCCTCTCTGTCAAATAAATAAATAAAATCTTTAAAAAAAAATCACTTACTACTATAATTTAGGTATTAATTTGACCAAAACTTTTAACAGCTTTAGATAAAACATTAGTAGAACACTGAGCCTATTTATTTAAAAAGAAATTGATAGATAGTTATATATGTGTATATATAGCATACTAAACTCCCCATACATGCACATGATATATGTGTATTTTCTACAAATTAACAGTTGCTATTGCTGGTTACAGAATTATGGCTAACTTTTAAATTTTCCTTATTTTTATATGCTCTTTTTCTAAATTTTATATATTGCTCTTATATTATTTTTTTAAAAACAAAGTATTATATTCCTTTTTAAAAATTTTATTTATTTGAGAGAGAGTGCGCATGCAGAAGAGGCAGAGGGGGTGGGAGAGGGAGGAGTCCATGCTGAACATGGGGCTCAATGCTGCCAATCCCATGGCACCGAGATAGCAACCTAAATCGAATCCAGGAGTCTGACACTCAACCAACTGAGCCACCCAGGTCCTCCAAAAGTATTATATTTCTAAAAATTTTAGTTCTACTAAGTTTTAATAGAACAGTGTGGCACATTTTGAGGGGAATATAGGGCATGGAGTTAAATTACTTTCTGCATTTCATGTAGTATGGACGGAGCTCCTTAACATTTGAATTAATAGATAATATTTTCAGGCTTTAAATTTAATATTTTAATATATATATCATTTTAAACCGCATGAATTTTAAAAAATCTTTTTCATCACAAACATATCTGTTACTCTTAAAATTTCTTGTCTTATTTCTTTGGATTTTATTGATCATAAATCATTTAAAATTATGAGTCATTAATCGTATACATTTAAACATTTCATTTTTAACTTATTTTCTTGATGGCTGATTTTCTCCTTTGATATCTTGATTCTTGTGTAACAGACTGTGGAATTCCATAACACCCTGAATGTGGAAGTTGGTTTATTTTTTCTATTGGTCTCTGTTATATAAAAAATCTTCAAAAAAAAAAATAAAAAATCTTCCCCACCTTAAACATCTTTTTCATCTGTTTTAAAACATTACACCATTTTTTCCCTAACACATTCACAGGTCAACAGCAACCTGGCCTCTTGATCCACCAAAGGATGAGAAACAAGGGTGGCGACATGTGAGAATTAAACAGATGGGGAAGAATGCTAGTGGACAAACCCACTACCTGTCACTATCTGGATTCGAACTTTATGGCACTGTAAATGGAGTATGTGAAGACCAGCTAGGTAAACAGATGATAACAGGGTTTTAACTTATTGGAACAGTTCTCTTTATAAAATGTGACTTATTTATATTTCTTGAATTTCTACTTTATAGGGAAAGCAGCTAAGGAAGCAGAAGCTAATCTTAGAAGACAAAGACGTCTAGTTCGTTCCCAGGTTCTGAAATACATGGTTCCAGGGGCTCGTGTGATCAGAGGCCTTGATTGGAAATGGCGAGATCAGGATGGCAGCCCACAGGGAGAAGGTACCGTCACAGGGGAACTGCATAATGGTGAGTAGGTACTTAGCATTTTTAGTGTAGAAATGGAGTACTTAAATAACAAAGTATTTTTCTTTTGTTATTTTGGGTTAGTAAATGTCCCAGCACTCTGTAGTAGAACTGTATTGATCTCACATTAAAAATGGAAAAGTCATTTACTTAGAATTAAGGGAAATTTTTAATTTCTCTTTTGATTTAGAACTTATTGCTAATATTTTAAAGTGATTAATAAGTTAGTATAAGTTGACTACTCTAAAGACACATTTTCTGCTGCTTTTTTGGGTCTATTCATAAGTTTTCATTGATCTTTAATTTCTTACGCTTTTCTTGTTAGCATGATGGGAATCAGGCAGTAATTTTTTTATTCTTTTATAAGTCATGTAGAAGAAAAAGTATTAACATTTTTAGTAACTACTTTTTAATAAAGCATAGAACAAGAATTGTAGCCTCTTCGTTTATTAATAGATTATAAAATAACATTCATAACGTTTCTCAGTCTACTAGCGTTTCTTTGGATTTTAAACTTTGATATTTTATAAGGTAAGGGTTGTTATTATTTAAATCAAGTTCATTTTATAAACCTTTGATGCTGTAGATTTTAGAGAAGGCCATACCCACTTATTTAATAAATTGCTCTTAAATTCCCAGAAGCAACTTAAAATGCCTAATTTTTTTCTTATAAATACTCAAAAGGCTGATTTATTAGTGGATAAATTGCCTAGCCAGTAGTGTGTTCTTAAGAATTTTGCTTGCTGTTAAAAACAAAAAGGAGTAAAATGTTCATATTCTTAACTTAACCCAAATATCTGAAGAGCTGTAATAAAGGCGATAGTGCTTAGGAGAATGACTAACACTTAGTATCTTAATATATTCATGTTCTGTGTGATACAGGCATTTATTTACCTAAATACATTCTTGATTTTATGGTTTTTAAGATTCTCTTCTTTGTATCACCTTACTACTTAATGCATTTGTGTATAGTTACACCGTAACTGCAAATTGTTGTCATTATAGCAGGTTTACAGTGAATGAGCAGGACGTGATTGCCAAAATTCATAAAAACCAGTAATAGTTGAGAGGACAGTAGTACCATTCAACCCAGAAATTTTAAATGTTTTTAGACATTTTAATGATACTTAGTTAATATTCTGTTTCCCCTAAATTGTTTGTTTTGGCTTTTAAGTGTGTGGGCTAGTTAGGGGTATATGAATGTAGTTTATTTTTCTCAGGCTGGAGTCAGCTGAAGCGACTGCCTATGAAAATGGGATTCTTAATTTTAGAATTTATTATATAAAAAAGCTTATTTTTGGTGACTGGACTAATGTAGAGGTTCAGAGTTTTGACTGACCAACATGGCCATTCACATTAAGTCTTATTTTAAAACCTTTATGTTAGGGAAAGTGCTTAGTTTTCAAAAGTAAACCAACCATTTCTTTCTTTCTTTAAAATTTTTAAATTTTTTTTTAAAAAGATTTTATTTATTTGACAGCGAGAGAAGGAACACAAGCAGGGGGAGTGGGAGAGGGAGAAGCAGGCCCCCCACGGAGCAGGGACCCGATGTGGGGCTCGATCCCAGCATCCTGGGATCATGACCCGAGCCGAAGGCAGATGCTTAACGACTGAGCCACCCAGGCGCCCCCAAATTTTTTAGTATTTTACTTTTACTCTCTGTACCTAATGTAGGGCTTGAACTCACAACCCCAAGATCAAGAATCACACACTCCACTGACCGAACCAGCCAGGCACCCCTAAACCAACCATTTCTTTTGGTGGCGAGGGGCAAAGGGAGAGGGAGAGAATCTTTAGACAGGCTCCACACCCAGTGTGGAGCCCGACGTGGGGCTCGATCTCACAACCCTGAGATCATGACCTGAGCTGAAATCAAGAGTCAGGCACTTAACTGACTGAGCCACCCAGGCGCCCCAAATATCTTTCCTTTCTAAAGAATCTGTGTGTCAGTGGGAATATCCCTTTTTTTTTCTCTTGTATTCCACAAATATGAGTGCCTACTATGTAAAGATACTTTGTTAGATTTCATGTAAACAATGGTCACCAAAAAAGTATGATTTCCTGCCTTCTGAGTGAAACAGATGAGCATACAATTACAGATCTTGATTGCTATGGAGTAAATTATCAGTATATTTTTGGAGTGATTAATGCAGTATAAGTGTTATTTTTATTTGGAATTGGTATATGTTTTTGAGCCTTTCCTTTATTCACACTGTTACATGTTGCAGAAGAGATAGTTAAATGTTGGTTCTTTAGAAGTTATTTCAGCATATGGAATAAATGGGGGCAGTTGAAATTTCATCAAAACTAGATTATGTAGATTTGGGGCTGTTAGTTTTCCTCTCATAGAACTCCTATGCAGATAATCCCCACAGGTAATTCAGTATTACTTATACCCCTCTGAGCTTCATCATAAATATGTATGAACTTGTTACGTGTGTGTGTGTGTGTGTGTGTGCATGCACGGAGTACCTGCGTGTATGGGTGAAGTACTTTCAAACTTTATAAAGGCTTGTTATATTTTTAAAAATACATACATTTTTATGTGTTGTGTTTTCCCCTGAAGTAGGTAGCTTATAACACTAAACTAAGATTGTAATATTTTTATTATTTTCTGTTCTAATAGGCAGTTTGTTTTATGGCTTTTGGAAATTAATTACTGATTTTTAAAAAGCACAAGTATTGTTTTACAAGTACAAGTAAATATACATTGAATATCGTGTTCATTAGTTCTTTGCACGTTATTAGCTTTAGCTTATAGGTTCTAATAAAGAGCCTAGCAATACTTTAAAAATTTTGTTTTTAGAATTTTCTGTGCTTATTCAAATATATTAAACTTAATCATAAGAAAACCAAATAACCACTGAACTTTGAGAACACAACCGAAATGCTAACTTAGTGTTATTTGAGCTGGTGACCTAAAATTTGTGCAGTAATATGTGAATGTTTTCTTTGTCAATTATTAGAATTTAGCCCAAACTTAAAAATTAATGCTAAGTCAAAACTTTTTTCTAAAAAGAACGTTCGACCACATAATCATATTTAGCAGTTAAAAAACCTTTTATTTAGATTTCATCTGTACTTAACTGAAGTTGTAGTATATCACCATTTATATCAGTCTTTTTACAGTTTTTAACCGTTCTTCCCCTTAAAAGACACCCCGATAGATGTAAACATGACCCTTACATTGTTTTCAGATATCAGCAGAGTGCGCAGTTCAGAAATAAGAGACATAAAAGGAAGAATTTAATTTTAGTTGGCAGACCTTAAATGACTATAGAAATTCAGAGAAGTTCAGCACTGATGAAAAGCTGATCCCATATTGTGGAGCTACTGTCTGACACGCTCCTCTCTGCTTTCTGCCGGGTCTCACAAACTCCTGTCCCTTTCCAGGCTGGATTGATGTCACCTGGGATGCTGGTGGCTCAAACTCTTACCGTATGGGCGCAGAAGGAAAATTTGACCTCAAGCTTGCACCAGGGTACGACCCTGATACAGTGGCATCACCCAAACCTGTTTCATCCACTGTTTCAGGCACAACGCAATCATGGAGCAGCTTGGTGAAAAACAACTGTCCAGACAAGACCTCTGCTGCTGCAGGCTCCTCAAGTAGAAAAGGAAGCAGCAGTTCTGTGTGTAGCGTGGCCAGTAGCAGCGACATCAGCTTGGGTTCGACCAAAACGGAACGGAGATCAGAAATTGTAATGGAACACAGTATAGTTTCAGGAGCTGATGTCCATGAACCAATTGTTGTTCTTTCATCTGCTGAAAACGTCCCTCAAACAGAAGTAGGGTCATCTTCCAGTGCAAGCACCAGCACCTTAACAGCGGAAACGGGAAGTGAAAATGCCGAAAGAAAGCTAGGCCCTGATAGTTCTGTTCGCACTCCTGGGGAGTCTAGTGCAATATCCATGGGAATCGTTAGTGTTAGTTCTCCTGATGTTAGTTCAGTGTCTGAGTTAACTAATAAAGAAGCAGCTTCACAACGGCCCCTTAGCTCTTCAGCAAGTAACAGACTGTCAGTGAGTTCTTTGTTGGCTGCCGGGGCCCCTATGAGCTCTAGTGCAAGTGTACCTAATCTGTCCTCAAGAGAAACATCTAGCTTGGAGAGTTTTGTAAGGAGAGTGGCAAACATAGCACGGACTAATGCCACGAACAACATGAATCTAAGCCGAAGCAGCAGTGATAACAACACTAATACTTTGGGGAGGAATGTGATGAGCACAGCAAGTAAGTGAGCTTTTCCTTATGGAACCCAATGGTTTTTCCACTCGGAGGGATGCACAGTAGGGTTTCTTGGTCAGTGGGTTCTGGCTGCAGTCTTTAACTAGATCATTAACCGTGTTACATACAACTACGTCAGATTTAGCACTTCAGGAATCTGTTGTTAAGTTCTATAGAATCATGATCTCTTAAGAATTTAGATCAGGTGTGATAAAGAACCTCTTAATCTGAAAGGATAAAAACAGTAACACACTTCTATTTTTCACTCTTCTAAGAAAAATTGTTACGTTCAGCTGCATGAGGAAATAGATGACTATTAAATATTGTCATGGTCAATTGAAATCAGAGCATCACACTGGTTTAACTTTGCCTTAGGTCCTAAATTGATACTAGCTTCTGGAAGCCATTTAATTCTGACTTAAGCTAATGGGTTAAAGAAATTCCTTTGGAAAATATCATTGGGAATTAGTGCATTGCCTGTTTCACTTTTTTAAAAAAACAAGGCTTAATTTTTTGAAAAATAACAGTGCTGTACAAACAAGGATTCTTAGTTGGATTTCAGTTGGGTTCCCAAAGTTGTTGCTTTTCAGCCTTTTAATAATTAGTGTTTCATGATCTCATTCTTTTATTCTAAATATATAACCTAGTTTTTCTTAGGTTTATACAATCCCACCAATTGTACTGATTTGCTTCATTTTTATCTTTAGCTTCTCCTCTTATGGGTGCTCAGAGTTTCCCCAATTTGACCACACCTGGTACCACATCAACAGTGACAATGTCAACATCCAGTGTGACTAGCAGCAGCAATGTAGCCACAGCAACAACAGTTTTATCAGTTGGTCAGTCCTTAAGTAATACTTTGACTACCAGCCTCACATCAACCTCCAGTGAGAGTGACACAGGTCAGGAAGCAGAATATTCCTTATATGGTAAGTGATAGTTGAAAATACTTAGGTATTTGTGTAGTGATGCTTTTAGTATGTTTTCCTGCTATGTTGTTTTTAACTGTCAATTAGACAATAATTATCCTCTCTTATTAAAGATATGGCATCTTCATATAGAATGAAAAAACTGTGCTGTGGGGGACTATTAGATTATCTGATTATAAGCGGACATCTAGGAACTTTTGTGTCCTCCTTTTTTACCTTTTGTGAACTAATGAAGTTATATTGGAAGAATCATGATAACAAAGATATTGGACACCTTTATCAGAAAAGAATAGAAGTGTAAGAGATTAATAAGCTTTGTAAAGTTATATTTTTTGTATACTATAATGTAAGAAGAAAAACACTCCCCCTGTGTGTCTCCTCTACTCTCAACACTCTGTTCACAGAGCCCTTCACTGCTGGTACCGCTGACTACCAAAGGTTTGTGAAGTTTGCCCATACCGAGCAGTGTTCAGACACCAGCTGGGTGTCCTACGGTTTAACTCAGTTGCTCAGCTCTGGCACTGTTACCTACCTGGAATTAGTGCCACATCCCATAGGTAAAGGGCCCCATTCCATAACACCATCTCCCCACCCCTTCAGACACGGATCCAAAGTCCAGGTTGTCATCCATGCTACAGACTGGCTATAAATTGGAAGCTTCCGTGACCCTCTCCTCTGGTTTGATCAATTTGCTGGAGTGGCTCACAGGATTCAGGAAAACATTTTATTTACTGGATTAACCATTTCTTATAAAAAGGGGTATAATTCAGGAACAGCCAGATGGAAGAGATGCATAGGGTGAGGTCTGGAAGGTCCCAAGCACAGAGTGTTTGTCCCTTTGGAGTTTAGGGACCCTGCCATTCCACGGATGTATCCTTGTCTACCAGTCTGGAAGCTCTTTGAATACCGCATTTGCGGGGGTGGAGGGAGGAGGTGTTTAGAGGCTTCATGACTTAAGTGTGATTGATTAAATTATTGGCCATTGGTGATTGAACTCGTATATCTGGCCCCTCTTCTTTCCCCAGAATATTAAAGAGTTAGGGCTACTGGTTGCCTTTTTTTTTTTTTAAGATTTTATTTATTTGACAGAGACACAGTGAGAGAGGGAACACAAGCAGAGGGAGTGGGAGAGGGAGAAGCAGGCTTCCTGCCGAGCAGGGAGCCCGATGCGGGGCTCGATCCCAGGACCCTGGGTCCGCGACCTGAGCCGAAGGCAGACGCTTAACGACTGAGCCACCCAGGCTCCCCTACTGGTTGCCTTTTGAAAATTATTGTTAGATGATTACAATTTCCTTTTTCACATTTCTAAAACTGGAGGACTCTTTAAGGGTGCTACTGTATAGGATCAGAGGAATAGCTGCCTTATAAAGTAATTTCTATATGCAAACTTTTACTGTGTTAGATTTTGAGGGACGTGATTCTGTGATATGGTCAAATCTATGAAATAAGGAGCTATTTAAGTGTTCTTATACTCTGATAAAGAGAAGATCATGAGTAAAAAAAGCCTTGACTTCAGTGAATTGTAACATGTGAGAGATGAAATTTCAGTACCTAAAGTAAGATTGTTTTCCTTTGAAAGTAAGCCAAAAGTGGAATTGAAAAAAAAAAAAAGTGGAATTGATTGTGTGCATGCACGTATGTGTGTACTACCACATCATGTTCATGAGAACCACTCCTAAATTGCAGGATGGCACCTTACATGTGTTAGGGATAATATATTTCATCAAATTTAAGATGCCATTATAATTATTTTATGTCACTAAGGAAAAAATGTTGCCAATTTAGCTGTGACTTGCCATTGCCTGTAAGACACATTCTGACTCCAGAATATTAAAGTGTTAAAAAAAAATGTGTGCCTTAGAAACTAATTGAATGTAATATCAGGCCTCTTTCTTCTACTAGCCGTCTAGTAAAAGGTATTGAATTTTAGTCCTGTGTAATTATTAGATTTAAAATATATATATTTGTTTCAGAGGTTTGCAGATAAAAGATTCTACTAAGTATGTATAAATTGTCTTCTGAATGTTCTTTTGGAATATGGAGTGTGTAGTGTCTTTTTATCCACAGAAATTTTTTTCCTTTCCTATCCAGTAAAACTTCTCCTGCTTTAGTCCCATTATTACTTTCTGTTTTCAGTTCTTGTGCAGAACAGCTTGTCAGCATCTTCATTGTGCGGGAGACTGTGTTTATCTGACACAGACTTCATGGGGGGGGCGGTGAGGGAATATGGATAACATGAAAGATGGTACATACATTACTCCATAGTAAATAGGCAGTGTCCATAAGTAGTTCTGCCTTTTCCCTTATATGATATTTTACAGTTTTTATTTATATGTTCTTTTTCTTTTCTTCTTCTTCTTCTTCTTCTTCTTGGTGGGGAGGGACAGAGGGAGAGAGAATCTTAAGCAGGTTCCATGCCCTGCATGGAGCCCAGTGTGGGGCTCAATCTCATGACCCTCAGATCATGACCTGAGCCGAAATCAAGAGTCAGGTGCTTAATCGACTGAGCCACCCAGGTGTCCCTCATTTGTTTACTTTTTAAATGCCTCTCTCCCCTGTAAGCTCCATGGGGGCTCAGACCATGTCTGTTTTGTTTACAGCTATATATATCTGGTGCCTAACACAGTTCTTGGCACATAGTCAGGTATTCAGTAGATATTTGCTGACAGAGTAAATGACTCCAAAGTGTTCTCTTCACACCATGTTATGCTTCCTATGGCTGATGCAGACAATTGTGATAGGATTGTTATTTTTAAACCTAGCCCGTATTGTTGATCTTTTCTATTACGAGTTTGTAGACTTGGATTTAGTTTGTGGTCATCCTTTATCTTGCCTTGTTTTCTTTTTTTTAAAGATTTGATTTATTTTTCAACAGAGAGAGAGACAGCGAGAGAGGGAACACAAGCAGGGGGAGTGGGAGAGAGAGAAGCAGGCTTCCCGCCGAGCAGGGAGCCCGAT